AAAGAGAGACAGATCCAGGAGTCCAAGAAGGTAATGAAAATGCACAATGTATTGACAACACTCTAGAACAGAGTAAAGGATATGTGGCAGAGAAAAATGAATGAACTCTGGTAATACTCCCCTTAGCTGTTTTAGCAGGCTAGCTTGTCTTGCTACTGAACAGAATTGCAAGTAAGCTAGAGCAACATTGGCCATAGGTATTGTTTACACTAGGAACCATTCAGTGGTTTGTCTGCTCCAGGCTTTGTTGTTTTGAAGTGGGTTCTTTTTCGACATAATTTGTCTGCCAGTTACTAACAGAAAAGTATGAAGTTGTTCTACATCTGTTGTAACTGCGGTAGACAGCACTGAGAGTTTGCCTGATTGAGAAGAGCTTTTAGCTACTGAATATCATGGATTTTATTATCTTATACGTCATTTTGTTATGTTATTAAATGGCACTTCTTTTCCCCAGACGCAAATCAAGGTCTCCTTCCCCTCGAAGGAGGTCGTCGCCTGTCAGAAGAGAGCGGAAGCGCAGCCATTCTCGCTCCCCTCATCACAGAACCAAGAGCCGTAGTGCTACTCCTGCACCAGAAAAGAAAGAGGCGACTCCTGAGCCAGAACCCTCTGTGAAACCAAAGGAGACTGTTGTTCAAGAGGCAACTTCAAACAGGCAAGTGTGATAACTTAGTGTGTAGAACTGTATGTTACCTTTGAAAAAACTGAAGTTATCTTAATACTTGTATGGAGCTTGACTTGGGGGAATAACGCTTGCTTCTCTCTGTCCTGCTGCAATGACTAAAGAATTTATTAAATAATCTTCAGTAAAATTTTCTTTTTCCTCTGTAGAATTCTCAAGGCAGTGTGCGTAGCTGCCACTGGAGTTTCATTGTCTTGGTTATCTTTTCCATTTTGACAATGTCAGCTTGTTTTCTAGCAAGTTGACATATAGTCCGTATGTTACTTTTCCTTTACTTTGAATCATTGGACTGTGTTCTAATTCTTTCCACAGTTTTGGAGCAGGGTGTCTTAGCATCATGTCAGAGGATGGACAGAAGAATGTTAATTGTGGGGAAATATCTTGGCAGCTTCTTAAATGTTATTCCAGGGCTATGGTTTGTATGTGCTTATAAATTCTTTATTTCTAACAGTGATATCCCAAAAGCTCCTAAACCTGAACCTCCTGTACCAGAGACTAAGGAAGCTTCACCAGAACGTAATTCAAAGAAAGAGAGGGAGAAGGAAAAGGAGAAGACTCGTCAAAGATCCCCAACTCGGTCCAAGTCAAGGTCAAGATCTCGTTCACGTTCTCCATCTCATTCTCGACCAAGAAGGCGTCATAGATCACGGTCAAGGTAGGACTTCAATTTGTCTTGATTGTGAAGGTTGAGAACTGAATATTTTCTTCTGAAGGTGCCACTTAATGTAGTGTTCTCAGTTAAAGTAGTGATGTTTTTTGAGATGCTGAGCTGTGGATGTTTTAGGCCAAATGAGAAGTACTTTACATACTTAGTGTGATGCACTTGGAGAAAAGCAACTTTGCAGTCAGTGCCCCGAGGATAAACTTCCTCAAATCTGAACATTAGATAGTTGCTTTTCATTTGAATTTTTGATTGTGACAGGTCTTACTCCCCTAGAAGGCGACCAAGCCCGAGACGACGACCATCTCCAAGGAGAAGGAGCCCTCCACGGCGAATGCCTCCCCCACCCAGGCACAGAAGAAGCAGATCCCCTGTGAGGCGGTAAGATGCCCTTTTATGAGACAACTGAAAACGTTAAACTTTGAAAGTTAAAGGGAACATTAGCTATGAGAAACAAGCGGTGTCAAAATTACTTTGTTCAAAATTACCTCGTTCAGCTTACCTTAGTAGTGTCGGGCATATATGATTTGAGTGATGGAAAAACTGCAGTGTCATGTTTCATAAATGTGTCATGGGGAAACAGAACAGTAGCTGTGAAATTGAGTTGAAATGATGATGAGAATTCCACCTTTTTGAAAAGTGGCAATTTCAGAACTGTAATTTCTTCGACTAGCTCTGGCTGGCTCCCAGTGTAGATTGACATGGCACCTTTTATTATAAGTCTTAATACCTCTTCTTTTCTTCCCTGAATAAAAAAATAGAACAAGTAACTGGATTTTACTCATTGAGAGCTTTGAAATTTTTACTTATAGTTCCATCACGTAAAATTAAATTAAAAAATTAATTTGACTTGAAATTTATTTCTACATGTTCTTTTACTTCAGTATCCAAGGTCGTCTCTGTTGTGTTGGAGGTTACATTTTGGCAGCTTAAGCAGTTGTTCTAGTAGCAAAGCTCTGAGTTGCCTCGCAAAGAAAATTATCTAGTTACAGCAATGTCAAAATAGACATTTATCTTCATAGGAAGGGAACGGATTCCTGTCCTCTTCGTAGGAAGAGAATTAAAGTCATGCTTCCTTTGCACAATAGTTGTTCTTTTTTAGGAAGGAACAGTTCTTCCTTTTTATGACAAGGTGATGACTGCTTTTTTTCTTTCTTCTGAGTTTGTAAAGATGTTCATTTCACACAGTTACTGGGAAAACTGTGAAAAGTATCCAACATGTATGTTGCAAGATGTACAAGAGCTCCCTTTCAGCAAATGTTTATCTCACTCAAGGTAGGGTTTCTTTTTTCCAGGTTCTCAGGAATTCTGCAGCCAAAGGTGGATTCTGCAGGTACACAATTGCAACAGAACTTGCCACAAATTTTGCCGCAGAATTCTAGAGGCCCTACCTTTTTAAAATCACAAAGTAAAGATGAAAGACTAAAGCATAAGAATGGGCAGACTGATTCTCAGTTGTTAAGTTGTTAAGTTATCTGAAATCTTTACTTCCCGATATAAAAACCTTTTTAGTGTACTTGTACACTAAAGTCGTAAACAGATCTGTTCTGAAGATCATCAAGTCACATGTGCTAACACGGAGAATTCTCTTAACCATCCAAAAGTTAGAGTGCCCCAACAAAACTAATTGCTCCCAGGAGAAAAGCTTAGTTGTAGTCTGTAGATGGACAGAAAGCAAGCAAAGGTAACACTAACAATTTTTTGCTCACTATGTAGTTTTAAAATAACTGTGAAAGATTGGTTATTATTCTCTTCTACAAACCAAGGGTGGAAGGCTGTCCACCAGGTTTTGGAAATTCTGTTGTATGTGGCTTTAAATATATGCTTGCAAACAAATGCAATTCTGTGCTCATGCTCAAACATTTTTTAAGCTGGCCAGTCAGAACCTAATACTGTGTTTGATTTACAGGAGAAGACGGTCATCAGCATCCTTATCTGGCAGTAGCTCTTCCTCCTCCTCCTCACGTTCCAGATCACCACCAAAGAAACCACCTAAAAGAACTGTATCCAGTCCTCCTCGGAAAACACGTAGGCTCTCTCCTTCTGCAAGCCCTCCTAGGCGGAGGCACAGACCGTCCCCACCGCCGAGTCCGCCTCCAAAACCACGCAGGTCTCCAACACCGCAGCAGTCAAATCGTACAAGAAAAAGCCGTGGCTCTGTTTCACCTGGCAGAGCATCAGGTAATGAAATAAAAACACGGCTCTTCCAGCAGCTTTATCATTTGTGCTTTCATTTGCTCAAAAGATGGTGTGTGCAGTTTGTATGAGCAGAAAACCATGCAAGAATGTAGTGAATTGCAACCAAGTTGTTTGATTTTTGTCTTTTAGCACCCAAACATAAGAGTACTGAAAAAAGAGAATCTCCTTCGCCAGCACCAAAACCAAGGAAAGCAGAACTGTCCGAATCAGGTATGACTCTCACTTTCCAACACTGGTTTTGGGTGGGATTTTGATCAAAGATGCATGACAATAAGGCAGTTGTTAAAGTGCTGGAACCTCTTGATAGGCTGGCATTGAAAGCAAGAGTTTTCAGAAGCATGAAGATGATCACTCCTACTCCCTCAAATAGTTCTATGCAAGCTTTCTTGGAAAAAAGTTCCGCCAAATTATGCTCCAGCCTCAATGTTATCTTAAGATTTAAGAAAAAAAAAGCATGCCTGTTGGTCCACTGCAGTAGAACTTTGCTTCTACCTGAATAAGGCAAATTTGTATCTTCAGTTTAAATATTCTGTTTATGTTTGTGCCTTTTCAGAAGAAGATAAAGGAGGTAAAATGGCTGCAGCAGACTCTGTTCAACAGAGGCGTCAGTACAGAAGGCAGAATCAACAGTCTTCATCTGGTATGGATGACATAGATTTCCTAAAACTGGAAGTAGTGTTGGCTTCAAATAGTGATTAAAATAATTTTCTATGTGCACTGCAGTGATACTGTAAATTTAATTCTAGTTTTTCCACTCTTGCTTATTAACCATTAAAAACTATACTTTATTCTTATGGTATATCTCTTGTTAATTGGTTTACATGTTTAGAATTTTCACTTTTAAACTTTTACCATCAAACACAAGTATTATTTGCTATGGGTTACTTAATCCGTTGTTGCAGTAAGATATTTCCTGATTTTTTGGGCTCTTGTAAAGCTTGAGGTCAGTAAATTAACCTGGGTCTGGTGTAGGATTTTGTCCACTTAATGCTTCTGTAAGTAACTGTAGTTCACCATTCATACTGCCTGGCTAGTCAGATTTTATGTGGACAGTTAAGTTGCTGCAAATATTATTACCCAGCTCCCATGGTTTAATTTATTGCTTGACTTCACCTAACATTTTTAGTTGAACTGCTTTTAAATAGAGACTTCTTGTTCTGTGGGAGTGGAGGTTAGTGCTGCAGTTCAAACCGCAGTTATAACCCTCTTGGTAACTGCGTTAACTGTGTCATGAGAATCATCTTCCAGAGAGTGATTGTTCTACGTTTATAGATTCTGGCTCTTCATCCTCATCTGAAGAGGAAAGACCTAAAAGATCCAACGTGAAGAATGGGGAGGTTGGTAGACGCCGACGCCATTCACATTCACGCAGTCCATCACCGTCTCCACGAAAACGACAGAAGGAATCTTCCCCTCGGTAATTTCTTCTTAAGTTGAACATAACGGATGTCTTTTTTTCAGTCTGTCTACCTAATGTTGCTTACCTGCTAAGCAACAAGCAACAAATACACAACGGAATTGTCATGTCTGGTTTTGCCAGTCTTGTTTCAAAATTGTATCCTCGTTATGCTCATTTGTTAAGAATTACCCTGCACTTTATTTGAACATGTTTGGTTTTGCTTGGATATATGCCAGATAGATTTGTCTTGTTTTATTTTTCCTCCACTGCTCTCAGGATGCAGATGGAAAAGAGGTGGCAATCACCAGTGATGAAAAGGTTGGTTAGAAATTGATCTGTTACATAGGATTTACATACAGAGAACCATTTAGACAAGCTCTCATTTATCATGGATAAGTACTTGCCATCCTTTGGACTTCCACAGTCAAAGTAGTAAGGTGAGGGAAATTCAGACTGATGTGAACCTTAATGTGTTGGATCTGGGACCGTTTTACTGACAAAAAATACGATCACCTGTTGTCTCCTTCATTGCTCCCTGTTTGTTAATTCACGTAAGCTCGTTACATCTGATAACATCAATGTTAACAGCATCTTACTGGTGCCTGAAAACAACTGAATGCTTGCTTGTTTCAGGGGTTTTCTTACTCCATCCATGCAGATTTGAAAGATGGGTGAGCATTACTTTGTATTCTTGCTGCTATTGACATTCTGGCTAAAACCCATCCGTAGACGTGCAACAGGTGATTTAAGATCTTCATGCTCTGGGTCACAGATAATTGGAATTTTCAAGTCTCATTTCTCTGTTCATTAGATATTTGGGACTAGTAGTGAACACCTACTTTATTTTTTTTATATAAGCAGTATTGTTAACACTTATTTGTTTGCTCTGCATTGATGTCAGAATACAGGAAGGTGCAGGAAGCTGGGTGCTTGATGGGGTTATTAATCCCATATAATGACCCTTGTGAGCACTCTGTAATTATGACTTAGCTAGCATACACTCACAGCATGCATAGTGATACGTGAGATTAAGTATGACTACTTCTACTAATGTAGACCATTCTAATTGCAGATCTTGTCAAGCCATTCTATGTAAAACAGATTGCAGTTCAAAGATCTTGATCTGTTTTGCAGCATACTAAATTCACCTATTGCCTGTTGTGTAAATACATATTTAATTAGGGCAACAGGGACATTTGAAGGCTTGATATTTTTTTGGATCACAAAAGAACATTGTCTTTTGGAGCAAACTCTTATCTACACAAAGTGTAACTCATTGCCTCGGAGAACAGTGCCAGCAAATTTGAAATCAAATCTCGGTTTATGTAGATGAGCTGCTTTGCTTTTTCATTACCCTCCTTTTTTTTCCTTTATGCAGTCATTTGATTTTAATTGCTTTAGAAAAGAAAAGGAATGTTTTACTTCACAAAATACCAATATTCTTCTGTAAATCTCCAGGAAATTTTGTGTTTGATTAAAATTTCCTTTCCCAGAAGTCTGTTGTAAACCTTGCAGAGCAGAAAACGGCTCATTTTGTGAATAGTTCCCATGCATTAATTTTTTTCTCTGCATTTCAAGAAATAAGTCATTTTGGATTTCAGATCCATAGAAAAAAACTTTTGAAGAGTACAGTTGCACAGTATTTAATCTGATCCAACTTCAGACCACTGCTGAATGCAGTTTTGTTCTCCCTGACACAGCTGGGCCTTCCCAGTTCCTCCCTCGTGTTGGATCTAGCGATCATGTCACTGCATGGCGACAGAGGTGTTTTTGTTGGATTAGTCTCCTGGTGGATCAGTAAACTGGTCTGACTCATTAGATGATCACTAGCTTCAGTGCAAGGGAAATGGCAGAAATGAGCTTTCAGGAGGAGAAAATGGCCAAGTGTTGGGCTTCCTTTTTGTCTACAAGATGGGAATAGAGCAGGTTAAGCAGAATATGAAATTGTCTCATGACTGCTGTAGAGGGCTCTGAAAATTACAGTGAAATTACGTGTTGTCTCACTCTCCTTAGAAAGGCGAGGACATTTTTTCCATCTTCTAATAGAATTTCGTTTTGAAGTGCATGAACACCATGATTTTATATAGCGAAAGCAGAACAGAAAAGAATCTCGCAGCTCAATTGCAACGTTTCTGAGTAACCCCTTTGTCTCTTTAGTAGGAGGAGGAGAAGTCCATCACCACCCCCAGCCAGGAGGCGACGCTCTCCTTCACCCGCCCCGCCTCCTAGGCGGCGGCGCTCACCTTCATTACCTCGTCGAAGGTACCGTGTTGTGTTTTTGTCATGAAGTGGTTGCTTTTGGTTCGTTGACGTCCAACTGTGACGTGTAAAAAGAAATGCCATAACTGAGGAAACCAGTCCCCTGTTTCACAGTTACTGAGGGGAGTATGGTTTTGCTAGTGACATTTTGTTGTGATGGGTATGTGGCCTGGATTTAGTTTTTAAAAGTTTGATATTAAATAAAGTTTTAAAGAATTTTTAGAGGAATTTTTTTTCCTTCCTTTGGGCAAATTGCAAGACACTTGTAACTGTGTGGCACCTGAACATTTGTTGTCTTTGTAGGTCTCCATCACCACCCCCTCGCAGGCGCTCACCTTCTCCACGGAGATACTCTCCGCCGATACAGAGACGATATTCTCCTTCACCACCACCGAAGAGAAGAACGGCTTCACCTCCTCCCCCACCCAAACGAAGGGCATCGCCTTCTCCACAGTCCAAACGCAGAGTCTCCCATTCACCACCGCCAAAACAAAGGAGCTCGCCAGCTGCTAAAAGGCGTTCACCTTCCATATCTTCCAAGCACAGGAAGGGATCTCCTCCCAGTCGGTCCAATCGGGAAACGCGTTCTCCACCACAAAACAAAAGGCATTCACCTTCACCACGGCCTAGAGCTTCTCATACCTCTGCAAGCCCACCGCCACCACGACGGGGAGCGTCAGCTTCACCCCAGAGAAGGCAATCTCCATCTCCAAGCACTAGACCCATCAGGAGGGTGTCAAGAACGCCAGAACCTAAGAAGACAAAGTAAAAAATCCATCTTCATTGTTGGTGGTTTTCTGAGGGGTTTTTGCTTGTTTTGATTTAATTTGGTGGGAGTGGCTAGGGAATCGCAGTTCAGTGGTTCTCATCTTGAGATTGCTCAAGTGTTGGTTGCACTTTTCAGCATCCACCATTGTAATGTCGATTTTCTGAAGTTACTTGGATTGGAAGCATCTGTTAAAATAAAGTGCAGGGAGGAGCATTAAAGAGGCTTTATGCAGGGTTTGAGGAGTCTTCTGATAGCACAGCAAAGCACTGCAACTGAGCAGGTGAAAAGAACTTTGAGAGAAGTTTTGTTCCTAGCTTTGTTCAAATAAAAATGAACTTTATCTTATTTTAAAGCTAACTGCAGAAGGGAACCAACACTCTTCACTAGCTCATAAATAATTTCATAAATGATCATCTAAACTCAAAAGCCATTTAGAATTTTAGCAGTTTTCCTCGGTGTGATGCTGCTATTACAAGCAGATAGACGAAGTATGGTGCTGACTTTCTTAGTTCAGGAAGCAAATGTAGCTGAATGTAGTGTCTTGTGCTCTTTCTTCATAGGACGACAAGATAGCATAGCTGTTCTCTTGACTTTTAATGTGGTTATAAATCAGCTGTATCAGAAGAAAGGGAGCAATCATTCCTAAACAACAATGGCGTTACTGTTTAAGAAGCTGTTAAGTTGCAATACCCTTTGGCATTACAGATCCACAATGGCATTAAGATTGTTTTGCCTTTTGGAACATATGCCAGCAAAGCAACTAATCGTTTTTTAAGTGGCAGCGTTACCAAGTTAGAAGCACACATGTTCATTTAGCTTTTTTGTTACTTTGTACTTCCTTGTTTTGTCTCTTCTGTCTCTAATTGTGGCTCTTTTATTTTTAAGGGCTTCCACGCCAAGTCCACGGTCTGCGAGACGGGTGTCTTCATCACGGTCTGCATCAGGATCACCTGAGCCAGCACCAAAAAAACACCAAGGACCTCCATCTCCTACTCGGTCTCGTTCCCCTTCTGCAAACTGGTCACCTGCAAAGAAGGCAAAAAGCCCAACTCAGAGCCCATCACCTGCAAGGGTATTTGTTTGCTAATAAAAGCATTTCTGCTTTGGGTTATATGGGGAGGCATTTTCATGAAGACTTTTCCATGTTAAAAGCTTCTTAAAAACAATTTGTAACATAATTTTTTCAAACTTAACATCTCTAAGTCTGAAACCAAGTGCTATTACATCTAAATTTTAACTTCTGGAAAAAAATACTTCCTCGTTTCATGAGTCTACATGAGTCTCATGGTCTACAAAGTGATATGGTCTTATTTATGCTTAGTAGGCTTAGATTAATCTTAATAGGAAGAGAACAGGTTGTTTGGCATCCTTATCTGTTCTCCGTAGGTGTTTCCTAGGGACATTTCCATTCTTTGCCGGAGGAGTGTTTGAGGGAATTAATTTTTGTGAAGAGGCTTGCCTGTCATTTCTACGACCAGCAAATCGAGTTTGCACGGTGTTACGTTCTGGTTTGAGACACAGCACAGCCGTGTGTTGCAATATCTCTTCTGAGAGTTTATTGGAAATGTGACTTTCCCCCAGTTCTGAAGATGGTGTTGAGCTCACTGGGTTTCAGATGTTGCCCAGTCCGTTCAAATTTCCCAGGATGGCTGTGGGCTTGGTTTTAATGACTTTGTGAAGCCTTAGGAATGAGTTGTGATGTCTGTTGAATTGTTTGTTACAGAATTCAGATCAAGAAGGGGGTGGAAAGAAGAAGAAGAAAAAGAAGGATAAGAAGCATAAAAAGGATAAAAAGCACAAGAAACACAAAAAACATAAGAAGGAGAAGGCGGCAGCGGCTGCAGTAGCTGCTGCTGTGGCTGCGGCAGATACCACCTCAGCACAGGAAGACCAGGAACCAGAGACAGAACCCAAAAAGGTAGGGAGTTGGTACCTATGCTTTACTTTTTAGGAGACCACAATAGGAAAATAGGCGGTGTTGAATGTACACGGTAGCCTTGATATTCTAAACATCAGTCCTACTTCAGCAGTGTATCTCGGGACTTTACGTGACGATTTGCTGTTCTGGGAGGGCTGCAGCCTGGCTTAGCTTTCAGTGTTTGAAGAAATGCTTTTTCTTTGTTTGAAGGAGACAGAAAGTGAGCCAGAAGACAACCTCGACGATCTAGAAAAACACCTGCGAGAGAAGGCACTGAGGTCGATGAGGAAGGCGCAAGTGTCACCACCATCCTAGGCTGAACCCTTTGATATAATGTACATTTTATTTGGTTTGTACTCAGAATTCAATTTCAAATTGCTAAATGTGTTTGAGCTTTAGAATATAACATTTGTTGTAATAATTGCTAGGTTGAGGTTCACCATGTACAAAGGGCATGGATTTACATTACAAGAGGTGTCCACAGTGTACTAGTGACATTCTTTCATTGACAGTCAACATAATTTCATTTAGAGTGAGGCTTTTTAGAAGCAGTAGGAATTTGTTTTGAAGGGTTTAAACATGACCGTCAGTTCCCTGGTTTCTTTGAAATCCAACAACGCCCTTAGCATAACTTGTGAGGGTCTCATTTGACTTCTTTAGTATCCACTTACATTACGCTACTAACCTTTACGGTTTGTAAGCTTGCCCAGAAGTAAAACCACTGCAGAATGACCAAGGAAATCCATATTTTAATGCTTTCTACTGTTGCCTGTATAGTCTCCATTAAAGCGAATCCAGAATAGCAATTTAGAATGGTACATAAATGAAAGCATGTTGTTTACCAGGACACTGTGGGTTTATATTGATGTAACATGTTGATTTGGAACACTGGAATTTCATTTGTATTTTTATGTTCTTTTTTTAAAGGGCAGTTTCCATGATCAGCAGTCCCAGAAAAAAAAAAAAAAAAAGAATTCCTTCAGTTACATAAATTTTGTTTGTGAGATGTCGTTGCCCCATTCATAAATCTTGTCTCGTTATGGTTCTTCGGAATGGTGTGAGCAACTTTCAGAGATGTGGGCTTTGAAAGTTTGAGGAACCTGAACTTTGGATATTGTCATGTTTTCACTGTTTTTTGTTTTTGTTTTTTTAACTAAAGCTATATAAAGCTTGTGGATTAAACAAAATAAATTTCTAAATTTAAACAGATGTTGGCTATTTTTATATGAACATTGACATTTGCTAATCAGCTTTCTTTTGTACAGGATTAACGAATACACAGATAACGAAAAAGTATTTGATCCGGTCTGCTGGCTTCTGCAAAACCAGGGCTTTTGTTTTTAGCTGTCGTGGGGGTAGCAGAAATAGCCCTGTGTTAATTCAGCGATGCTCCTCTTGTGTCTGGATTGGTGTTCTTGCAAAGCAAGAGTAAAACAGTCTACCCGCTCAGCGCTCTGTTAGGATGGATAAGATTAAAACAAAATATTTGCTGGTGAAAATCCCTTGTCGTAGCGAGTGAAACCTTTCGAGGTCCTGCAATAAATGAACGGCAGGTTGGTGTTAACGTAGCGACGAGATTGAGTCCTGGAGACGCTGGTTTGGATGCTCATCGAAAGAATCCTGGTGGCTCGCTGCCTTCTCATAATCGTGTTTGAAACTTGCTGGATTGCTGCTGTTGAGTTTTTTGCAAATCAAAGTCAGTTCTGAAGTCTGAGGTTCCTCTGGAAGGAGGAATGGGTTGCGCTTTTGAAAACTTCTGTCCTGCATCTGCAGTAGATGTGATGTGCACGGTGAAGTGTAGATATTCGAGTAGTCTTTTTACTTGACATCGTGTAGGGTTTGAAAATAAAAGAGGTGGTGTGTAGATACTGGCTGGAAGGGGGTACCTCTACAGTAGCTTCCTTCTGCACTTCCTTATATGCTGAATCTTTTGTTTCTTAGCATAAGTATACATTGTGTGCTAAAGTGCTTGTAAACCTAGTTCAACACCACTTGAATGTTGAGTATCATCTGTTATTAAACGTGTATAATAAATTCCGAGACCTTTCTGGACAAACACATTTTTAAAAGTACATCTGCGTGAACTTGGTGCTTGTGAAACTGCAGAACCTAACCCTTGCTGTGCTCATCTCATTGCCTTCCTGCCCTCTCTCTGATATTCCTTGGCAGCACAAGTAATTCTGAAATTCAGTCTTGAAAGACCATACGAGGAGTCACAAGTCCTGGCGAGGAGTCAATCTGAATATAATGGTTGTATCTGAATTAGTCTGAATTACATCTGAATATAGGTGTTACAATCTGAATCTTAGTTTCATCCAGGTTGTGTCACCTCTTGGGTGCCTTTTAATCTTGGGAGTAACGCAAGTTCTTTAAATATATTCAGTACTTGACTCACTGAGTGCTTATCTTCCCTTGTACCTATTTTTTGTCTCCTGCCTCCAGGTCTGCACTTTGCTGAGGGATTTCACTGTTGGGTTTGCACAGGTCAGGAAGGCCGGGCTTCCCCAGGCTGCCAGGTGTCCCCCACCTTTTTGGAGTTGGAGTTTGGTTTGGCTTTGGAGTTCATTGCTGGGGGCTCCCTCTTTTTTGTTTTGTTTTGTTAATCTATCCATAAAGAATGGTTTAGGTTTTTAAAAAGCAATTAAATACAGTCTTTAAAAGGAATATAACTTCTAAATTGGGTTTAGGTTTTAATTCCTTACTACTTAGCTGTTCATTTGGATACGAACACTGCATTCAGATTCCAGCTGAGCGATAGCAAAGCTGCCTCTTGTCTTCTCCTGAGCTGTGAAATCACTGGATTTCTCTCCTGATCCTCTGTAATTGAGATCCCATCACCCAAACCCAGACTTGTCTGCTCCGTTCACCGCTCAGTCTTCTTGGTTAACCTCTTATCTGTTTCTCAACTGTTTTATTTGTAGTCGTGCAGCTGTGTTTCAGAAGTAACCGTGCTGTAGGATGCCTTGTGCACCATGGCAGAGCCTCTGCTGCCTGGATCTTGCTTGCTCTTTTTATTCTGCATCTGCTGACGCTGAATGCTTGCTTGCTAACCAAGGCCACCTTCCCCAAACAGCAGATACACAGGTTTAGATAAGCAGCTTACTGAAAGAACCGTATCTGACTACGCAAAATTAAATTAATAAATTCAAGTTTAATTGGACTGTATCATAGAGATGAAAATGAGTCCACAGGAGTGAACGTAAAGGTGAAGTGAGTCACTGGGAGCTCAATACCTGTGGTTCACAATGAAGAAAGATGTATTTGTTATGTCAACAGATGGGACAATAGCAGGTGTGCGCGCAGCGGTTTGAAGTTTATAAAAACTCATTGTTGGGTTATTAACCATTTTCCACTCGTGTGACTTTAGACATTTGCCTAGGGCGTTCGGTTGGAGCAGCTTCCTGAGCTTCACCACCGCAGCTTTGCGCTGGAGCTAAGTCAGGAATTAATTGCCTTCATGTTGAGGACAGAGAGTTCTGCTGGTTTGGAAGGTGTCTGGTGAACACCAGCACGGAGGCAGAGCTCTGCGCTCTGCTTCGCTCATGAAAGCTCCTCCTTGCTCAGCTTCGTGTTGTCTGACACAAATTCACCTTCCAAGCAGATCCTCAGAGCTGGAGGTGCGGGCTGTGACGGGACGTGCGTTAACTTGGAGGAGCAGCTTAACCATCACGGGTGGTTTTGCCCTCTTCGTTCCTCAAACAGCAAACCCACTCGAGTGTTCCCCCGTGGATTGGTGGTTTGCTGAATGGTGATTTGCTTTCCCTCTTGTGTACAAGTTTTTTGCCTCCCCTGTCTTACTCACAGAGTTTTCCAGTGGAGTTGTTTTTCGGTCAGGTCTCAGTCATTGTAAAAAAATTACCGTGAAAGTAGTCTGTGTCTTTAAGGGTAACAAAAAGATGATTAAATCTGAGAAGGATGGCACAGGCAGTTGTGTTTCCAGTTTAATCACCAGTTTGGCTTTGGAACTTCTCGCTTCAGCTCTCCCAGAGTGAGCTCAAAGAGGTGACGACTGCTCGAGTCCATTCAGTTATGCCATGAGGTGAGAGGATGGAGATGGCTCCCCACCCCAAGACTGGTGGTACCTGATGTCCTGTGATAGCAGCTCTGTCTCCAAAATCAGGTAAAGTGCAGCAAGAACACGGCCTCTTTTCTGCTGTGTTGCATTTTTGGGTGCGTAACACAGATACACTGTTCATCTTGTCGAGGTTCTGGTTGAAAGCAGCAGTTTGACCTTGGTTTTCTCTCATTTTTCCTCTAATTCTGACTCCAATTTCCTTCCCAGAGCACAGCTCAGCTGCCATCCATCCTGCTTAAAAACCTCATGGTCCTCCTGTGATAATGTGTGTTTGCTTCCTGGGTTGCCTGGAGGCAATGGGCGGCAAATACACAGCAAGTTCTCGATACACCCAGATCTGTGCAGGGATTCAGCCTTGGGAAGGTGGCTGGGAAGAGAGAGGTTTAATTTAATTTAATTGACCTTAAAACACCAGTGCACAGCTGGAGATGCTTTGTCCTGGTTCAGGGAATGATCTTCAGTTACTGTAGATTTATTTTTAACCCATTTTTGGCTGTTCTGCAGGGTTAAGCGAAGGCAAATGGAGAGTTCTGTAAGTAACTTGGGGGCTGTGTGTGCTGTACAGATTTATGATGGCTTTATATTTTATGATGGCTTTATATTTTATGGTGGATATATATTTAAAATGATTATAAGAAGAGGAATCTGCGTGGTTTAGACTTTAAAGGAAAGTATTTCGGGTCTTGTCTTGGACACAAGTTGCAAGATTTGGGTGTTTTGGTGGGAGAAAAATGTCATTAACATTGTAAAAGAATCGTTAAGTAGTTCTTCACTAAGAGAAAGTTTAATTTCTTATGATGTGAAAAGGAAATTGCTCTGGTGAGACCACATCTGCAATGTTGTGTCCAGTGCGGGGCCCTCAGGTCAAGAAGGACAGGAAGTGCTTGAAAGAGTCCAGCAGGGCCACAAAGTGATGGAGGGAGTGGAGCATCTCCTGCTGAGGAGCGGCTGAGGGAGCTGGGGCTCTTGAGCTTGGAGCAGAGGAGACTGAGGGGTGCCCTCATTCCTGGGGATCCATTTGGAAAGGGCAGTGTCAGGAGGAAGGAGCCAGGCTCTGCTCTGGGATGGCCAATGCCAGGACAAGGGGCAATGGTCCCAAGCTGGAGCACAGGAGGTTCAAGCTGAAGATGAGGACAAACTTTGTCAGTGTGAGGGTTATGGAGCATGGCCCAGGCTGCCCAGAGAGGTTGTGGAGTCTCCTTGTGTGCAGACACCCAAAGCCCTGGCCGTGTTCCTGTGTGACTGCTCTGGTGCTCCTGCTCTGGCAGGGGTTGCACTGGGGGAGCTTTCCAGGTCCCTTCCAACTCCTCATTCTGTGATTCTGTGAAGCAGTTTGCCCTGTTCACTGTTCAGCAGCATCAGCTGCTGGTGACTGCTAATGAAGAACAGATGCAGAGCTTGGCAAAGAGGTAAACATTTATCCAAATAAACATATAGAAATAACACCAAACTTCACCAAAACTGTTTTGAGCTCTGCAGGTGTTGAAGGAAGAGGAGTGAGTGCTTTGTGCTGTCTTGAACTTGGAAAGAACAGCACCAAAGTACAGAAATCACAACTCCTCAAATAATTTCAGTTCCAGGCAGTGAAGAAGTGGCCTGAGCTTGTCCACAACCCCAAAACAGCTCGGGAGTTGTTCAGCTTTTGAGGCAAATGGCTGATAACATCATCAGTCACTGCAAAGCAACTGGGGAAAAAGAGTTCTCATGTTTCTTTTGTTTTAATTCACTTTCACCTAAGGACCATTTGGCAAATTGAGGAGTAAAAATTGTTGTTACAGGGACAGAAAACCAAACAGGTTGTATTTCACAAAACCTGAACACGTGTGTGTAACTGTGTGGTAACAGCTTAAAAATGTACAGGGATGATGTGTCTATTTTACAAAAGAGAGCCTCAGATTTAGAGTGGCGAGACCAGAGGGAGCTGCTGGGGTGAGATCAGTGATGAGATGGATACAGCCCCCTGCACTCGGGTGGTTCCCAGCTCTGGCCCACAGTGGGGCTGGTTTCTTGACGTTTGTGTCTTTATGCTCATCTGCAGGGGTTTGCCCGTATCTCGTCAGGCTGGGGATGAACCGAAAGCTGTTGCTGCAGGGAGAAGGATCACGGCCGGTTTGTCACGGAGCTAAGATACTGC